GGGATCTGAGGACACCTGAGAGAAAACGCTCCTGCCGTCCCCCTTCTCCTCCCTCTCAGCCACCCCCTCGTTCCTCCCCGTCTGTCCACCGCCCTGCCCTGCGCTGCTCTGTCCGCATTTCAGGGCCCGTTCCCGAGGGCGGAGGGGATCTCCCTGTGGGCCTGGGCACCTCGCTGCGACGCATTTAGACGCTCCCTGGCTTCGGACGCTTGTGTCGTTGCCACGCCTCTCGCTGTGGGCGGACAGGCACACTTGCATCTAACTCGCGCTCCCGGGCGTGGGGGAGGGAGCCCCTGCAGTCGGCACCACGTCCGCGTGGCCTGCGTGTGGTCGCAGGGGCGGCCTCGCTTCTCTTTCAGCAGCCGCCCCGTCCTGACCCTCCCCTGCTAAGCGAGGGCTGCTCATTGCACGTGGGTGCCGGGTCGGTGTCCTCCTGTCGGTGCTGGCGACACCTGCGCAGTATTATGGGATGTTCTAGCAGGATGTTTTGCACAACGCCCTGTTCTCCCGGAGGGTTAGAGGACGGCGACTTTGAAATGACCACACACTGAGAGTCCTGCGTTGTGTTTCACTTGTATTTTTACAAAGATTTACAGCATCTCAGCTTCTCCAGAAGAACGATTTAGAACTTGTTCAAAGGGAAAAAAACAAGGAATGCCGGGCTTGTTCGGTTCTGACGTGCGTGACGTCCAAGCGGGTGCGATGCACGTCTGTCCCCTCTGATTCCGGGGAGCGTCACAGAAAGGAGACTGGTTTATGTAGAAGGTCGGCTGAAGCCTCCCTGCTTGTGGTTTTTGTGAGTCCCTGGTTAGGACCGTCCAGGGAAAGCATGAAGAAAGAGCCGCTCAGCGCAGAAGGCCCAGGGTGGTGTGTCGGTGAGCATGTGTGCGCGCGTGATGTGTGTGCGTGTGCACAGCGTGTGCGTGCCGTGTGCACCTGTGTGCGTGCACAGCGTGCAGTTGGTGCTAAGAGGAGGCTCTGAGACCGACACGTGCCTGAACTACCCCGACCTCTCTCACCTCGAGCCCAGTTTTGCTCTGCTGTCCGCGAGGGAACTCTGGCCGCGGCGTCCATCACCCAGGGCGGTGCCGGGTCCTGCTCTGCCGGCAGCGAGGGCTAGAAGGACGGCGTTTCGTTGCCCCTAACAACTTGGCCCTGCCAAACCGTGAGCTCAAAACAAAACAAACTTCCCCGACTGGAGGTGTGAGGGCCCGTGCTCTCGTCCTGGAGCGCAGGACCATTGTACTCTGCCCCTTGTGGGTTCGTAACGATCACCTTTATTCTAGAATCTTTCACTCCTTTGAAATTCGTTAGGTGGGAGCCAGCATTTTCTCAGTTCTTGCAGAGGGCAGAATTGAGAAAATTTACTGCTGCAAAATGAAGGCCTTTGTCTCCTGTGCATTTGGTGCGTACTGTCCTGCTTACTTTCAAGGAAAACGCATCGTATCCCTGCAGTCTGCAAAACCTTGTGGGCAAAAAAAAAAAGTCTGCAGTAAAATGCATCTGGCTGGTTGGGTTGTTACTCTTCTCTCTTTTACTCACAAACAGCACAAAGGTGTCGCAACGTGGTAAGATAAGAGAGATTTTATGCGTATATTTTGTCAAAGGATCACAGGCAGCCGTGGGCAGCCACGGTCTCCAAGGAGACTGCCCAGCGCAGGAGCCGCCTCCCAGCCGGCACCAACCGTGGCTCTGGGCAGCTCCAACGTCCCCACCAGAATTCTGTAGGAACGACTTCCGATGGGCGACCGCAGGGTATTTAAGCCTCCCATACTCGTTTTATCGTACAGAAAGCCCTTCAGAATTTAATAGCTGTTGAAAGTTGTTTCTCTGAAATCAATTTCAGGGACTACGAGAAAGTGCCCTACGAAAACTAAAAAAGCGAGGTTTCTCAGGTCTGTATCCCAGATGAACCCCTCAGTATCGCGTCTTGGAAGGACTGAGAGTTTCTCTGTCAAATCAGCTTTTACACCACATCTAACGCTCCTGGAGTTCGTGACTCCGGAGTCAGAAAGCGGCCGGTGGCGGCGGGGCGGCCACGTTGTCCTTGTGCTGGGAAGCCGGCCAGGAAGGTGACGTGCCAGGCTCTCCTGGAGCACTTCCATGTGTGGAATCTGTGAAGCAGCTCGAGCACCTAATGTGTGTTGTAAACTACGTCATAATCTCGTGTCATCTCGCCTGTCCTCGCAAGGACCCCTTGAAACAGGGAAAATAAGGTGCGTTCCAGAGGTGGGGAAGGGCAGACGTGCCCCGGCCACCCCGCACGGCAGGGAGCGAGACGCCGCCCAGACTCCATCACCTGGCACCTGATTGCAACCCAGTACTCGGTCTGTTTTTGTTTTGGAAAACATTCTAAAAAGCCAATGGACATCTTATATTTTTGTTTACTCAAGACCGGTTCTACTAAATTGTGTTGAGCCCCAGCAGAGACCGGCTGGAGACGCGCCCAGCGAGCGCTCTGCCGACGGCGCGGCCCCACCGTGAACGCGGACGTGGCCAGTGGCTCTTCACGCGCAGGGTCCGCGTCTGGGCTCGTTGCCCTCCCCGCACGTGCAGCGCGACTTCTCACTGACGTCGCCGGTCGTGATGCTTGCAGAGTTACGAGACCCTGCGGCATATGGAGCTGCGCATCTTCCCGGTTTATGAACAATCGTTACTGCCGACAGTTTGGCAGAACGACTTCCTCCTAAGTGAGGGGGTGGACGGACAGCGGGCAGGGCGATCCCACCGCGCCAGAAATGCTCTTTGTCGCTTCTTACCGGGAAGCGATTTCGCTGTATAGGTGTGTTTTACACACCGCGGTAAACAGCAAGGTCTTGCCGTTTCTTCAGAGCCAGTCAGGCAGAAGTGGGGTGCTTGGTGGCCGTGCCCCCTCCTTTCGGACGCCCCGTCTGTGGTCTGCGTTCAGCGTCAGGCTCTACGGCCAACTTGAGATGCGAATCGCAACTTCCTCATCCTTCTGGCTGCAGCTGCGACGTTTCTCACACTCACAGCTAAATCGCAGGAAAGTTCCGTGGCACGGTCACGGCCAGCGTCTCCGATGGGGAACGGAAACTGACACCCCTCTCCGCTCGCCGCCCCTCCACGTGGGGCCTTGACTTTCTCAGGCAAATTGTGTTTTTGGAGAAGCCAGTTTCTCTGCGTGGTTGTTACCGTGACTCCACTGGCACCAGCCGCCAGGTAACGGGAAGAGGCGGAAAGCCCCTCACGCCGCAGCCGCCCGCGATGCCTCTGGAGGGCACTTCGGCACCTGATTTGCGCATTTAACAAACTCATCGTTTGTTTCAGACTGTTTTAAATGTGCGGATTTCCTTTAGGGCAAGAATGTATTGCTGCGGCCTTGTCAACTCTGGGAACATTTTCCACCATGGAGCAGCAGCTAAGCAAGTCGCCAGGCCACGCAGCTGTCCCAAGGGGCCGTTCCTGTCCTGCCTGGAGAGGCGGGTGGGCGTCCACGGGGCTGCCAGGCCCAGCCGAACCGTGTTCTTTCCCTCGTGCCGGGAGCTGGGGGGCCGTCAGCTCAGTCCTGACAGTGGCGCCCCGTTATGGGTGCCCGCCGAGTGGCATCCCGGCAGCCCAGGAGCTGCCGAGAGCTCGTGCCACCTGCGCCTGGCGGATGCGGACACAGGCCGAGCAGGCCTGGCCGGGGCCGTGGGTGTCTTGACCGCCAGGCTGACCTTGCTCTTGGCTTTGTTTCCCTGAATGCAAATGTGACATTTGGTTCCAACGGGTCCCCGCCCCTGCGCCGCAGCCGTCCCCACCTCTCCTTCCAGCTGCCGGCAGCTCCGCGCCATTCAGGTCCCCTCCCCCGAGGTGACGCGGCACCGGGTCACCCCCGCCCCGAGGGGAGGATCTTTCTGAAGAGCCGGAATCACAGCCGGCTGTGCACAAATGTCCCTGGTTTCTCGGTGCCACCCCGTAAAGCCACAGAACCGTGGTGAGGACCTGAGGGTAGCCTTGGGGACGCTCACAGTCGCTCTCCTGCTGCGATGGGTGAGGGACGTCCTGTGCGCTCGGCTTGGGGCAGAAAAGAAAGGCCAGGGCTCTCCTGGTGGCCGCTCCCCGGCTTGCGCCATCCTGCCTGGTGTGGCGGGTTCCGGCGGGCGCGGCCTGCTCCTCTTGGTGTGGCCTGGACAAGCCGCTGGCCCTTGGTGAGTCTTGGGGTCCTCACCTAGCTGTCCTGGCGAGGCCGAGAGGAGACGCCACACCTGCCAGCATGCACCTGCCAGCCCTGCTCCGGGGGCTCCTGGCCACCTCCGAGGAGCCCCCCTGCCCTCAGTGAGAGCTGGCGTTCCGCGCTCGGGGGGCCTGTCCTGCCCCCTCCACGCTGCGGCAAGGGAGAGGGTGGGATCCTGTCCTGCTCTGTCCACTAGGGGCCGAGAAACGTGGGGAAACGAGAGTATGTGTTGAATTAAAGGTGAGGTTAAAACTCAAAGCTCAGACGTTACCTGCAAGCCGGCAGCGCCGCCTGCCTCTAAGGACGGCTCTCGGGGAAACCGCTACCCTAGGGATACGGCTGCAGGCATTTTTACCTTTTCTTAAAATTCAAAACACTCGGTTTTAAGAAACAGAGAATTCTAAATTTAAAAGCCAATATTAGTGTTTAGTCTAATTAGTCTAATAGTCTAATTTTTCATTTCTTAAAAAAAATTCTATGCAATAAAAATGGAAGTGTATATACCATTTCTTTTGATTTAAAAAAGTCTTTAAAACGCCACCAGAAAAAAAGCCAGTGAAGCCTTAGTTCCTAACGGGGTGCTTGCTGGTGGCGGGTATCTACAAAGGCATTTCATAACCGTTCCTCAGCCCAGCCTCCGCGAATTCACGCCGACGAAAGCCGCGCTCGCCTCCTTTTCCGCTTGAGTCTGAAACTGCAGCTGCGGGAGCAGGATGACTTTCCAATCGGCCTCTTAGCCCAGAGGGAGCCTGGACAGCGGGAGACTGGCAGGCGCAGGGGATCATCTCGTGCTCGGCTCAGCCCCGTTTGTGATTCGTTGCAGGTGCTAAAGAGATTGACATCGCCGCCACGCTGGAGCACTTGCGGGACCAGAGGCCCGGCATGGTCCAGACCAAGGTACCGTCAGTCCGTCCCCGGGACCGTGGGCACATCCAAGGCGTCCCTCTGCGGCGGTTTTCCTGGGGAGGGGAGGGGATGGGGCCGGGTTTAACGTGAACCGCATGCGGATGGCTCTGCTCAGACAGACCATCATCCACCCCGTCCCTCGTGGGCGGAGGCACCCTGGGCCCCACAGACGTCTACTGGTGCCTCCCGCAGCCACCGGACGTGCGCGACGTCAGTGCACGCGCTGCATCTCAGGTAGGCGGAGCCCAGTGGACAGGACTCTCCGTGCACCAGATTAGGGTGGGGGAGCCCTGCGTTTCTGTGGAGGACGATACAGGGCAGACCCCGGAACCCTTCTAGGGAAACCCTCTGCCCAGCCCCCCTCTCCTGCACCCCCTACGTGGCGCTCACGGGGACAGTGGCCATCGCAGTGTCCCCAGGGCATGCTGGGGTCCCTGAGCACCCGCAGTGGCTCATACTTGTCAAAAAGGCACAGTTTGCAGCAACAGGGTGAAAGCAAAAGGTTTCCGGTTGGCTTTGAGCTGACCGGCGTTGGAACTGAGGCTCAGGTGAGACCCCGTTTCCGTGGCGTTGCAGAAGTCCCCGCGCTCCTGGTTCGTGTGGGCCTCCGCGTGCAGCTTGCGGGACCCTCATGAAATCCGTGTGATTGCTGTGAAGGTACCTTGTAAGCCACAGCACGCTTTATACCTTTTTAGCTTCTCTAATTTGAAATTTTGAAATTATATTAGACTTACAAAGGTATCGCAGAAATAAGACACGTAATTCCACGGACCCTTCACCCCGTTTCCCGAATGCTAATGCCTTCCATCACCGGGTGCGGGTGTCAAAACCGGGGAGTCAGTGTGGACGCAAACCACTGGCTGATCGGGTCTCATCCGGGCCTCCAGTGACCTGTCCCTGGAACAGGAGCAGCCGGGACCTCCTGCGTGAGGCCGTGGCCCCTCACCTGCCACGGTCTGGGACGGCCTCGCGGCTGTGAGAGGTTCTCTGCTCTGTTTCCCTAGAAGTCTCCCGATTGGGTTTGTCTCGTGTCCCCTCATGGTCCATGCAGGAGTGGCGTGTTGGGCAGGGATGTCCCAGAGTGAGGACATCCGCTCTGGTCCCTCACCAGGGACAGGCACGTCCATCACCTGCCGCAGGTGTGTCTGCAGGCCGTTTGTCCCCCTGTAATCAGTGTCTCAGGGGGGAACCCCAGACCGTACCTCTATTTCTTTCCGCGCTGTTGCCACGGCGCATGCTGTAAATGGGAGGCCGTCAAGAGAGGAGGCGACACGGGTGACAGCTGCTGTCCCAGTGACAAGGCCCCGGGCACCCTGCTCATGGATGGGCCTGTGCTGCCAGCCTCTCTGCCCCCCCGGACTGGCCAGTCCTGCGAGGGGGGCGCCGTCAACTCCAGGAAGGCAGGTCGGCGACCACCTGCCCACCGGCCCTGCGTCCCTGGACCACCCAGCCCGGGGCCCAATGCCACGGTGACTCGGGACCGAGCAGAAGAGGCTGTCGAGGCTTCAAGGTCAGGCCGCTCTCACCACCAAGCGCGGGAGGCATCCGCGTCCGCATCGACCGCCTGGGACGAGCCACGGGGATCTTACGCGCAGCTCGGTCCTTCTCCCCGGTCCCGCGTCCCCCTCAGCAGGCCTGTCCCCACCGGGGGGCGGGTGCCCAGACGCAGACGGGCGCCAGTGCAGACCGCGGCAGAATCCTGGGCAAGGCGCATCTTCTCACCAAAAAGTGAAAACCCTGCCTGATACAGCGCAGGGAGGAAGCCTGCCCTCCACTGTCTGTGCTCCGTTTGGCGGAACAGGCCGTCCTCGATGGCCGAGGCCGGGGCTGGTCCTGGCCTGGGGGCTCTGGGACCCAGAGGGAGGGAGCTGAGCTCATTGTCATGCAGGTCACGAGCTCAACTCCATCCTCCTTTTTAAGTGGAAAGTGATCAAGCCGACACATAGCGTCATTAGCCAGACAATCTGGTGGCCCGAAGCTCCGGTTCTCTGGCGCCCCAGACAGGCACTTTCCCTCCTGCATAGCTTCCTGACCGCCAGCTCTCTCCTCCGCGGGGTGAGCGCAAAGGTGTCATGAAAGGTCTGCATAAATTTAGCTCCTAGAATTCCAAGGAATAAAGAAATAGTAAACATATAAATATCCTCATTCTATCCTAATTTATGACTGCTTTGCCCAACGTTCCCCTGTGAGACTGAACTTCCCCCAAAAGTTCAATTTCACAGAAAGAAAAATTATTTGGGGGCCAGGCACGGTGGCTCACGCCTGTAATCCTAGCACTCTGGGAGGCCAAGGCGGGTGGATTGCTTGAGCTCAGGAGTTCGAGACCAGCCTGAGCAAGAGCGAGACCCCGTCTCTACTAAAAATAGAAAGAAATGATCTGGACAGCTAAAAATATTATATAGAAAAAATTAGCCGGGCATGGTGGCGCATGCCTGTAGTCCCAGCTACTCGGGAGGCTGAGGCAGGAGGATCACTTGAGCCCAAGAGTTTGAGGTTGCTGTGAGCTAGGCTGATGCCATAGCACTCTACCCGGGCAACAGAGTGAGACTCTGTCTCAAAAAAAAAAAAAAATTATTTGGGCACATAAATAGTAACATTCCGGCTGAACACACTGATGCGCGCCTGGAGCAGGTGGTCTGCAGTCTGCTCACCGACTGGACACAAGCCGGGGACCGAGGTGAGAGGCCACGGCCACGATGGCGATTGCCCCACCGGCAAAATTTCATGTTTGTGTTAACAAAACCAACCCCAGGGTAGCTGCTCGCCTCCCTGGAATGTGGGTCGGTCGAACAAACAACCAATGTTTAGCGAACGCCTGCCCAAGCGCCGTCAGACCCAGGGAACGACGCAGATCGTGGAAGAGTCTCCCCAGCTGCGCAGTTGCCCAGCAGGCGCGTCCAGACCCCGGGAGCTGACACCGCACAAGGCGGACACAGGAACCCGCCGAGAGAGGCGCACATCGCGCAGGAAGTCGGGTGCACGGCTCACACGTGGCAGGCGCACCAGGACCTCGTTTTTGAGAAGATGAAATCGCTGGAGGTGGTTGAAGTCCCCTCCCTTCCTCTGCGCAGCTTCTGCCCCCACGGCTGTCAGGGGACTCGCCTCAGCACCTTCCCGTGATGACCCCTCCTCACCTTTGTCGGCTCTGAAGTCGAAGCCGAGCACTAGTTTGCCCAACGCCCCGGAGCGCAGTGTCCCCCTCGCCCCCCGGAGGACCTGCCGTGCGTCCACGCGTGGTGCCCGACGCACCTCTTTCCCTCCTGCGTCCTCATCTCCGCCTCCTCGTTCCTGCTCCAGAGCCCCTGGTCGCGAGGTCTCTCACGCTCCCAGCGCAGCCTGCTCAGGTCCCCGTCCCCGGGAACCAGGCCTGGGTCTCGGACGTCCCCACCCACCGGAGCTGGACCAGCCACCCTGACGCAGCCGCACGAGGCCCACTCACACCTGCGGCCACCCCAGACCCACTGGCCCCACCAGACCTCCACAACAGCGGAATCAAATCGTCCTCTCAGTATCTCGGCCTCTGTGTGTGTCTGTGTGTGCGCGCATACCTGTCTCGCCGTCTCTGTCTGCCAGTCTCTGTCTGTCTCTGTCTATCTCGGCCTCCACGCACCACAACGCCTGGTCCCAACTGTGGCTGGGCTCTGTCATCGGAGGTGCGGCGGGGGCTGCTCACTTCCGCCCGAGAGCAGCTTGGGTGTCAGACACCGGAAGGTGTTTTGTCCCAAACCCCTCTGAGAGAGGCGCGGGGGAGGCGCGTCCCTGGAGAGGGTGTTTGTGGAGCCGTGGGGGGAGACGGCGCTCAGAGGACGACACTCTCGCCGCGGCTTCTTCAGAGTCGGGAGTGACGAAAATTCAACGGTGGCGGTTCCCATTCGCACGGACGCGCCAGACTCTGTCGGAGCCAGATGACAGTGTACATGTGGGGATAAGCACACACCCAGGGACCAGAGCGCCCCGCCCGGCACAGGCAGCAGCCGGCGTCTAGGTCGCTCCTCTAACTTCCGCCCCTGCCATGTCCTGCCCGTCCCTGGCCAGCCAGGAGGGACGTCCCTGCTGACCCGGCCAGCGTGGGCCCAGTGCTGTCACCAGGCACCTGAGCAGCCTGAGCCCAGCTGGGACGTCCTGCCTCGGTCACCTCTCGGCAGCAGGGACGTGGGTGCCAAAGAAGCGGGAGAAACCGTAGGATACGCCTCCCGCAGGTCTCGGGTTTTATTCTGGCACCCTTTCAAAAGTGCCGTCTTGTTTACAGTGTCTCCGCTCCCTTCGTCCCCACGTCCTGTCTTTAGCCCCAGCCAGCGCAGACACGGCCCAGGTCTTCCTTTTCCGTTTTCCCTTTGAAGATCCGTTCTCAGGCTGGTTTCCCAGGATGAGAAAGATGTAAATAGATACACGACATTTAAACTTAGATGCCCAGAAGCCGCCTTTAACTTTTTTGCATTTTGAAGTCCTCACAAAACCGCAGCCCATGTGTGGGTTGGGAGGACAGGGCCTCGTGGCTGTTTGCGCCTGTTTAGCCCGGACCCTCCAACAGCGGGGCCCCTGGGCTGCTAGCGTGGGGGACGGGGACAGGGACAGGCTGGCCTTGGGGCAGAACATCCCGGCCATCCTGGTGCAGCCGGGCCCTGAGCCCACGCCCTCCAGGCCGGCGTCCGCGTGATTTCGAGGAGAGGAGAGGGTCCCCTGATGGCGCAAGCACGCAGGGGGGCCAGGGGGTCCCGTGTCCCACAGGTCCCGTCCTGAAGCAACAACCAAGCGTGGCATTGGGAGTGTTCCGAAATCGACTTGGCCGACTCCTTTAACAGTAGGCTCTAGAATCCCCAGAGGCACTACAGGAGCAAAGGGCAGCACATCAGTGCTCAGATCATCCTGCTAATGTCAGGTCAGGGGCAATAAAGGAGAAAGTCTTTGTCCCAGAGTGAGCATGACATGACTTTGACTTTCTGACGTTTTAATTCAAGTTATTTTCTGTGCTGCTGTTACTCACTGAACATTCAAAATGGAAATCAGGGTTGGTTCTGGATCTGGAGCTGCCCTGTTCCTTGAATTATCGAGTGTTTAAGCATCGCTAGGGCTCCTCTTAATCAAACATCGTTCCCTGCGTGATGGTTGTGTAACGTATTCCGCTCCCTGCGTTCTCCGCTGAAACCGGCAGATGCCTGTGGCCCACTCCAGGGTTTTACAGGGGAGTGTTCCCAGCTGGCAACTGAGGGACAACAAGGACGGCCACTCGCCCGCCTGGCCCGCGTGGGAGGAGGCGGGCACATCCCTGCCCACGCCAGGCCCTTTGCAGGCGCGAGTGGGCCCGAGCCGGAAGCCAGCCTCCCTCCCACCCCTCACTGCGGCTGTGCCCCTGGGGCTGTGCTGGCCTCCGGGAGCGGTGGGCGCGCACGGCCTCGCGCAGGACGGTCTGAACGAGGTGACGCCGGTTCTGGCACCAGGAGCAAAGCTGGTCGGGCTGATAACGCCTGGATCCAAAAGCGCAGCTCTCACCGCCTTCCACGTTTCTGAGGACAGGAAACACCCGGGTGTGGCTCCAGCTGCGCGTGTTCCGCGTCCGTCGATGTCCAAACCTGGCTTCTCCGCCCAGGGGTGGGTGATGAGGTGATGAGGGCAGGCGCCTGGAGCCCCCGGCCGCTCCCGCACGCGCCGTGTCCGTGGGCAGCGTCTCCCGGGGGAGGACGGGGCTTCCCGTCTGCCTCCCCAAAGGCTCCTGCTTCCTTCCCACGGGAATCTGAGGTCCCCCGTCTCTCTCCTGAGCGGTTTCTTTCTGCAGAACAGCACGCCTGGACGAGGGGGCGGAAGGGGAGCGGCTCTCATTCCCGGTCTCTCCTCTCCCCTCTGCAGGAGCAGTTCGAGTTCGCGCTGACCGCGGTGGCGGAGGAGGTGAACGCCATCCTCAAGGCCCTTCCCCAGTGAGCGCCCGGCCCGCCGACGACGCGGGCATCGCGATACGACTTCCATCGTGCGTCCCCTCTTGTGGCTGCATCGTGATGGGGCCCTCAGAGCTCCTGTAGTCAGTGCACTTTAGCAGTTAAATGTGTGTTTTTGTTTAACCAAATAACAGTAGAGGTTCATGGAAACATCCAGTTCTGGGAGGAGGGGAATCCTTCATCTATCTTCAATTTCTTTTTAAAAATCACTTTTTCCCGAAGCACACATCCCTGTTCTTCATGGCGGATGTATGAATGACGCAGCGATAGGACATCCCACAGGGTCTCTAAGAAGAGGGTTTGCTCGTAGCATGTGGCGTTCCGGGGGCGGGTTAGCTCTGCAGGGAGAGGCACCACATGGGCCCCCAGGCTCACAGATCCCGTTGAGTCTGTCCTTGGACGCCTGTCGCTGGGAGGAACCACTGGGGCAGAGCTGTTAACGCCCATAGCTCTGGGGCGAATAATAACAAAATCGTGGCAGCATCTCGGTGCTCTCGCTGCTCCACGTCCCCACTCTGCCCTGAGCACCAGCCACACGCACCACCCCAAGGCAGGACCAAGGGCTCCCACAGGGCAAATGCGGTCCCAGCCGTGGGTGGTGCCTGCTGCTGGGGCCGGGCACCCCCCGTGACCACCTCAGCATTCCAGAGTCATCCATGATCCCCAACACTTGCGTTTTTAGCATTAAAATACTGATTTATTCATTGCAAAAGCAGATGCCCTAATGAACACCGCCCTGTGAGACGACCACAGTCAGGAAAAACTAATCTGGGTCTGACAAGCCCTGGGGCCCCAGAGCACAGGCCGGCCCGCGACGGGGGCCTCTCGGGGAAGGCCGGGCCCTGCCAGGCCCAGGGCAGGCTGTGGACACGTCCCCTCCTGGGGGCAGGAGACGCGTGGACTGTGAGACCTCTGTGGGGTGAGGCACAGGACAGACACCCGCACGCCGCTGTGTCCTCACCATGTTCCCGTCTGCGCAGATGCTGTGCCTCAGAAGGCGGGATGGTGGGGAGGGGCCCGCGAAATGGAGGAAAGATGCCAAAATACTGTTCCTGTCTCCAAATGGTTCTGCGATGAGACCCGCGTTGATGTCCCATCGTTTCTGTCTGTCTGGAATTTAAATAATTAGTAGAAGTGAATTGATCCAAACATAGGACGCAGATACCTACTTACGATTTCTAACTTCTTATGTTTCAGAGGAAATCCTCCAGCGTGAGATACATAAATAGATTGAATTGTGTCATATTAAACTTCTGATTTCACATTCGAATGGCCTTTATTGGGAAAGGAAACCGCAATTCTCTCCTGTCTTTTTGTTTCCGGAAGGTGTGGCGCGTGTAGATTGCTAACACGACTCGCGTTTCCCGGAATTCACGTCGCGTTGCTGCCGACCTATGAGGGTAGATGCGCATGAGGTCAGGGCGCCACTGCGGTTTTAGTCTGAGACGCGGTCGAACAATCTTGGCGCAAACTGCAGACGCCGTCTGTGCCCGCCCCACCCCCACTCCTGCGTTGGCACCACCTGGTTTGGGTCGCTGTCCCTTCCTCCAGCCATGAAGGACACGTCACCATCTCAGGTGAAAACGGGGCCCTGTCCTGGTCCTGGTGGGCCTCACGGTGTGTCTCCAGCTCCAGTTCCATCCAAGGACCCCTGCCCATCCTCCGTGGGCCTGGAGACCTCGTCCTCGCCGGCCACACGGGCTCACCCCCCACCTAACAGGACACGCCGGGAACATTTCGCCACGGCCAGAGGGGAAGGCGCCTCGGTGTGCGGTGGCAGCTCACTTCCGTCCTGTGCGCGGCTGCTTTCGCTGGCGGGGACGAGAGGTGGACAGTGGAGTTGGTTTTTCAGTCGGGTGATTCCTGAGCGGGTTCCCACTGGAGGGTTTGGTGTCAACACGATTCAGCCATGCCCGGCAAGGCGCAGAAAGGACCTCACTCAGGGACTGCCGGCCGCGGCAGGGTCTGGCAGGCGGGGAGAGGCCTGGCTGTGCCGTCCGATTGGCACTGCCGCAAGGGAGCGCCGGTGCTGGGTGGTTTGTGCAGAGGGGGGGTTATTGGCTCACGGTTCTGCAGGCTGTGCGAGAACATGGGGCTGACATCGTACCTGGGGGGCTTCAAGCCGCTTCCACTCGTCGCAGGGTGGAGGGCAGCGGCCCGTGCAGAGATCACAGGCCAGGGCGGGCCGGGCTCCGACCCCCAGCGCTGCAGCAGCCAAGAGGGAGACCCGCTCGCCCCAGAGGGAAGGAATGGATCCAGTCAGCAGGGATCCGCCCCATGACCCGGACACCTCCACCAGGCCCCCTCCAGCACTGGGGCTCGAGTTTCAGCACGAGGTTTGCAGGGTCAAATAAACACAGCAAGGCCGGTGGGAACCCACAGCCAGGGAGCAGGTGGGGCCGGGGGCGGAAAGTCACCAAGAGGGACATCAGGGCTGCGGGTTCTGCCCCGCCCCCACGGCTGGACTCCCAAAGGCAGGCGGAGGCCGGATAGCACCTGGGGGGTGTGAGGAACCCGCCCAAACACGAGCGGACCAGACACGAGGACGGGACTTGGCAGGCTCTACGCTAAAACGGATGTCACGAGGACGTGCACGGACCTACCTGGGAGAAGGTTCAGGAGGACCAATGCTGGCCAAGCAGAGAATCTTCATCCCCCCTTGCTCGAGGACAGAAGAGACATCTTCTTGCCTTTGAATAGTCTGAGTCTGTTTCTCGCTCGGTGGCCTGTGCCCAGATGTGGCAGCGGGAGGGTGGCCTGCTGGGTGCTGCGAGGCCTCGGGCCGTGGTGACGGGAGTTTCGTTTCTGTGAAAATAAAGAACAGCAAAGGTCAACCGTGGGGACGGGCCGTGAGCAGTTCTGAGTCCAGAGGGCAGCCGGTCTGGAGTTCAGGTGGTGGCCTCGCTTCAGGTGGGTGAGGCGGGTGGCGGCGACCTGGCGGTTTCCTCGTGTGCGGTGCGGAAGCCGCGAGGGTTGTCCTCACGTGAGCCGTTGCGGCAGCTTCTCCGGAGCGCGCAAGTCCTCCAGCCTCCGCGCACAGGGCTCAGGAAAGGAGCAAGGATTCGAGTTGGAAGGTCCAAGGAAAACTGCAAGATTGTTTTGGGGAGGAGGCCAAATGCTGGAGGAAACTAGAATTCAAGATCCAGTCCCGATTTCAGGGAGACACTAAAACCTCAACCAAACAGGGCTACAGTCTAATACTGGGTGCTCGGTAGTTTTCTTCAAAAACACATTTTCTTTCCAGAGTAACCCCCATTTCTACCAAAGATGATCAGAGTTAGACTGATTAGCTGCAAAATGAGTTTAGTCTTGTAAATTTGCCTTGATTATTCGCAGAAGTGCAGCAAGAACAGTGACTGAGCGACCACGCTCCTCTCACGCTCACTCTGCGGGAACGCTGGATCTGGAGTCTCAGATCCGACCGGCGCGAACCTCTGGGGGCCGAGGACCCCCAGGCTGCCTCTGCGACTCCCGTAGATAATCTCATTAACGTGCAGCCGAGCTCTAAGGGGAGCAAACTCCCAGGTGCTTGTTACACCAGGGCGCTCACGGCCAGGGCGGGAGGCGGCTGGCACTGAACCCGCAGGGCTAGGCCGCGTTCTGGACACGTCCCCGAGGGGCTCCCGTACGTGACTCGAGGGCACTGTGTGCCGGCGAGTGTTTGACAACCGACTCTCTGAACCAAGGGGACACGGGGCTCCGTGATTCGCTGGCAGAGGCTGCGCAGCTCACAGCCCACACACGTGACGGTAAAACCATGCGGCGTGGACCTGCCACCGAGCTCCTCATCAACAATGTCGAAGCCCACGAGGACATGGACACGGAGAGTCGTCTCATGAACGAAGAGAGGCAGATAATGTGATACAAAAGGGCAATGAAATCAGTTTTAAATCTGTCAATGGTTTATTAGAATAACAGAATTTAACAAAAAAAAATGGATTTGAAGAAGAACCAAACAAAACTTCTAGAAATGGAAGCGAAAGGGAACGATTATTCTGTAATTAGGGAACGCGTGTTCACGAGACGCAAGCTGACGTCAAACACGCGGTGTCTGAGCTGACGAGAACACACGTGGGCGTCTGCCGAGAGGTTCTCCCACGCCACTTACCGCGTCTCGAAACTCCTCCCAGGTATCTCCTTTCGTGCCGTCTTCCCAGCCCCGTCGTCCTCGGAAGCGAGTGCCAAGTCATCCCGGAATCTTCCTCGGGGACAGGCGCCCTCGGGTAGCGGCCTGCGCTCCTGTCCACGCGTGTCGTAGCCAGAGCAGCGCGTGGTCGGAACCTGCGTCCAGTTCCAGACCAGAGTGGGCAGCAGGGACTTGCTTGAAATGCTTGTGCCCACGACGACACTTCCTTCTGGGGGGTGCGCCCGCCCCCGAGCGCAGTGCTGAGACCCCCCAGACACCAGGGGCTCCTTCCGCCGACGCCGCCCCGCGCTGAGTGCACGCCGGCCCGGCCCTCCCTGGGGGGGCGGACAAGATGAGGTACAAAGTACCGGCACCTGGAGGCTGCTGAGCAGAACAGGCTAAACGGGGAGGGCACGAGGAGGTCGCGGGCAGGTCAGGAGCTGCACACCTGGCCGAGCCCTGGCAGGTGGGTGGACAGAGTCACGCAGAACAGCCTGGGCCACGTGCACACGGGAGCTCCACGTTCACAGTCGGACGCTGGGCCGAGACGCCGGCTGACTGACTCCTTCCTGCGAGCTGCTGTGGGGTAAGGAGCTTGCCGTGGGGTCACCGTGGTGACACTGTGGACTCACCTTCGAGCAGTCCTGTGATGTGTTTTTATAAAACTGCTGCTTAAGACTGTGATGTTTTCACAGACGTGGTGAGATGTGCTCTTACAGAAAGGAAAGCAAAGATCTGTGTGTTGTGATTCTGTAAGAAATGCACGGGCCGGGGGCGGTGGCTCACGCCTGTAATCTTGGCACTCTGGGAGGCCGAGGTGGGCGGATTGCTCAAGGTCAGGAGTTCGAGACCAGCCTGAG